TTGTTGTTGTTGTTGTTGTTTTTATTGTTGTGATACATGTATTTATTTTAAAAGGCTAAACTGTATTTAATCTCTAAGTTTTTATGAAAAAAAAAATCGACCCCTAAAAAGGTAAAATAGAAGCGATCATTTCATTACTGGACGTCAGATTTCTTGAGTTTATCTTTTTCTCCTTTCCTTTTAAATGCAAACCGATTCATTTTGCCCTTCTCAGCTGTTTGCCTCAGATAAACCTATCGATTAGACATCAGTTAGATTCCTAGCCAGGGTTTTATTGAGTAAGTTGGTGAACCTTAAAGTGAATTACAGGAACTGCTCTGCCCCTCCGGTGAACTATTTAGGTGAATCTAATTTACTTTGATAAAGACCATCTATTTTATTTACTCTGATCGCCATTTTCATCGAAGCTTTATTGTGAGACTGTGAGGGCAGAGTTGGTGGAGGTTTTTTCGGGAGGAAAGAAAATTAGGATTTTGAATTAGGATTCGATATTTACAGGTTTAAGCAGAAGAACAGAAAAAAAAAGAAGAACAAAGCCGCAAGATTACATATTTATAAAATTATTATTATTACCTACCTGTAATTTTTTGTAAATGTGATCATATTCACTCAGTAAAACCGATAAAGTTTTTGTTATTATTATTTTTTTAATTTTATTTTTTGTGTGCAGGAGTAACAGAAATCTGCAATTTCCTCGTGAGCTGCTACAAGATGTACGAGAAGACTTCTTTCCACTTCTCCAGTGAACCTATATAAAACGGAGCATCTTTTTAATTGACTAATTATGTTTTTTTTTTCCCCCCTTAAATAAATTATTTGAAATTATATTTGATTAGATGGATTAATAATAATGCAGGTACTGTGGGGAAAAATTAAGATTTACATTTTACACTTTAGATTCTTTTTTAATGGGAGGATAGAAATACGTGTTTTTCCTGAATGCTAATTTTGCAGTTAGCACAAACACACACACACACACACACACACACACACACACACACACACACACACACACACACACACACACACACACACACACACACAGATATAAATAAAAGATAATATTTGGCCACAAAAACGTGACGAATCTCTGCAGGACAACCAGGATCAAACGTGATAAACAAACTGGACAGAGGTTGTTTGTCGTCCCCTTCATTCCCTGAGTCTACAGTCCAAATCCCGACTGCTCGGAGAGCCTGTTGTACACATGCGTCGTATTTAAGTGTAATTGGCCGTATCATTGGCTTTTGTCTTGTTTACAAAGCGGGCAACAGGAGCGGTAATTTAATTTCCGCCGCCGCATTGAAGAGCCACCAGCCGCCTGTCAGGGCCGAGCACAGCCTCCCCATCCCCGGGCAGCGGGTAGGCGAAAGGCCCGGGGCGATTCTGGAGAGAGTAAGGGAGAAAGAGGAGGGGCGGAGGGTGAGGAGGGCGACATCTGCCTCACAATAAAAGTCAATATGAATGATATGCTGGGATGCAATGGAGGATGGACATGTCATTATGGCTTAAAAATATTTATACTGCTGTGACCAAGTGGTGACCAAGAGTGTTTTGCTTTTGATGAATGTACATTTTCTTTGTTTACCCGTTAGCTTCCAGTTGCACATATCTTCTTATCAATGGATTATTTCATATTAACATTATAGCAACATAAGCTATACTCATTCGCTTTCATTGAATTTAGATTATTTACAGATTATTTAAAGATTTTTAATTTTATCCGTCACTTGTTTTTTATTGTTTAATTTAAATGTAAGCTCACTCACGTCTTGTTTTTTCCCCTCGCCACAAAATAATTTGAGTTAACGTGAAAAATTAACCTAAACCTACCTAACCTAGAATCCGAGACAGTATAACGGAAAAGGGAAGAATAAGATCAGGATATTACAACTGATGGATTTCTTTTTCTGATGACGATCAGCATTACCACCCTTTCCGTTATCATCACAGACTTTGTACAAAAAACTAGGACGAAGAAAGAAAGCAAAAGGGCAAAAGCACATTGACGCTCTTATGTGAAAGAGGAGCAAAGTAAAATTAAAAGCAACCGTGCCAGGTTCAAGTCTGGAAAAGAGGAAGCACTACTTACACTTTGTAAAAAAAATAAATATATCAATAAATAATGATAATAATATACAAGAATTAAATTTAGACCACACAGCGGGCTGAAGTTGCTGATTTCACATTGGAGACATTTGGTGGTGTTTTTAGGACAAATTCAAATTTAATTGAGCACAGTATGAAGGGAATAAAAGGCTCTGCTACGCATTTAAAACTCAGACCTGTCTTTAAAGGTCATTTAATTTCTCATTTGGAAAAAAAAAAGAAAGAAAGAAAAAATCTTTATAGGGTTGATTCTTGTTTATGTTTTAGAAATTAAATAATGAATTTAAAAGGTTAAATTTGTTTGCAAGAAGAAAAAAAATAAGAAGCTTTTATAAATTAACTCTTTATTGGTATTAAACAAGTCTGGGGAAGAATGAACCATGTACCGAGCTGTGTGTGTTTGTTTACTAGACCAGCAGCGAGGGAGAGAGAGAGAGAGAAAGATGGCACATTAGGCCTGGGGGCACATCATTATTAGAGAGCCTGGCTTCGCTCCCTTTCTCTCCATTTCCATCTCCACCTCTCTCTCGCTCTCTCTTACTCTCTGCCTCTTCTTAACTCTACCAGACCCAATGCATCCAATCGCAGGGGTGGTCGAAGGACAAACAGAACGGCCATCGTGCGGAAGCTTCCGTACAGGGCAGCGCAGTTCCTGTTCTCTAATTAAACCATGATACAATGCAATATTCCTCTCCAAATATTCTCACATAAATTCATTTCACAACCCATTAAAGATACAGCGGGTGAGATCATTTACATCACAGTGTCCCAGTACAATACAGCATGATGCCGGCTTTAACAATGCCGCCAAATGTGCCAAGTCCCCCCGGTTGAACGGCAACCTGGTAGGCATTAACTCAACATAATGTCTCACAAATTAAAGTATTGCTGGGGCTACCACCATGGCGTCAGATAAATGTTCTCTATTAGGAGGCCCCAAGCTGTGCAGAAAACAATTGATTGCTTGTTTGTGTTTTCATATGGCATCCGTGAACATGCAGAGTGATGGATGAGAGCCCACCATCTCAAGTTGCTCTTAGTCGATTGCTATTGGTGATTTTTTTTTCCTCCTCTCTTCTAATAGGAAAGTTAGCCAGTCTGCACACATACACCTTATATTCTCTTTATTGAGGCTGTAGGAAGACAGAGAGGGAGAGACGGTGCAAAGCGGGCTAATGGGAGTTGAACTTGGGCAGATGTAATTGCAGAAGGAGTAAGGTGTTAACTGCAGTTATGTTGACACTCCAGGACTTCTTCTCGTGTTTCTAAATGATGCCTGTGTAAGATTTTAGTTTGATTTTATGCTTTTTTTGACAGTTTACATATATTTCTGGACGCGGTCGAATTCTGCTTCCAATCTCTCTTGACAAGGGTATGAAGTAAAGCTAACCGCTAAAGCTGTTTAGCTTTCTTTGCATCTTTGTGTGTCATTGTTCGGGATGCTAACGTTCAGTAGAAGTGCTGCTTAATTTATTAACCGTAGATCCCTCTTAAGGATAATTGTTTTCACACATGCAGCCCTGAATGTTTTTAGATCCTGCCTTATGAAATGCTTGGTCTGATTGAACACTAAACTGTATTTACTGTGCTGGTTTTCTGGTGCAATGTTTGTGCCTCCTGCACAACTAATCGGATGGCCCACTGACAAAGAAAAGAAAATCTTTCTGGTGTTCAGAATTTGTCTGAAGCAGACTATCTACTGGTGTGTGCCATAAATCAGATCAACTATAATGTTTCAAACTGATTCTTGAGCGAAGTCAGCTGATGACTCAGCTTTTTTCCTTTTCATACCAACTAAAGAGCACAACATTTCTGTCTAACCTAAGGAGCTAAACATTTTCAGCAGCAGTATCCAAGACAAGGGCAAAAAAGCCTCAATTTAGTCAAATCGCTTCTCAAGCAGAATGCAGAGAAAGGTCCAAAGACAAGTTGATGCACTGACTCAACAAAAACTACAACTTTTTACTGTAAAAATAGAACATGTAATTTATTGTTTTTCACAATATGCACCTAAATGCCAACAACCAACCAAGGAAGTAGTAGCAAAAGGGTTTTAGGGCAGAGGTCAGAGTGATGTGCAAGTAGAGAGGACACCTGGTTTTCATGTAGTACATGCCACACACCACATTCCCAGCTATAGCAATAAGTTACATTATTTGTAATCCTTATTTAAGTTACACCAAACGTTTGTGCACCCCTTATATTTGCACACTGACAGAAACGAGGCATTTTAGGTCCCTCCCTGTCCCATAAAGCCAACTTTCTTCTGCAGGTTGCAAACATACGGTTTGAACAGCATGTGGGTGTGACTTCTGACCATATTAAGGACATGCCATCTGTTTGACATCAGATGAGGTAGCGCTGGAGAAAAATGAACAGAATCATCTGGTTTCCCTATATTTATTCGTCAAAATGAGCCAAAAGAATATATAGTATTTTCTAATTAGGTGAGGAAACTGGAAGGAGGGGCCCAAAAAGTACTCAGACATTGTCTCCTCTTCTGGGCTGATGATGAGATAAATCTGTGTTGTTACCCCCTTTTATATAATCTGTTTATACCATTTGTTTTCACCAACTCAAATGTTTAATCAGATTAAACATGTTTTCCATTGACTTCAAAGACGCCTCAGTGTGAAAGTAATTACAAAAATGCATGCAATGCTTTTTTGCTGTGTATTAAATGGCTAAAAGTGAGTTCTTAACAATAAAAGAAAATCATGTCTGTACATTAGTGTAGTTAGTTTGCCATTAATAAGTTGTAGTGGTGTCTCTCCATGTCTTTCTAATGTCACGTTAATTATCAGGTTATTTACGTCTTCTGTATCATATTTTTTTTTTCTTACATTCAGCAGTATTACCTATTTATAAAAATAAAGAATTTTTTAAAGAAATCAAATGTGTTTTGTTTACTGCGTAACGTTTAAATATCATGACATTGTCACACATCAGAGAAGGGATTTCCTTGTTCCTCTCCCCTCCATGTAGAAACTGAAATCTGTCATCATAGCATTTGTAGGGCAGTCCAGATAAGGTCAGAATTAAATGCACTGTGATTAAAGCCCTTCACTGAAACATCTTCAATCAGTGTCACTTGGTTCCTCACAGCCATCGCAGAAATCAGGAGGCTGCTTCTGTGAGTCTACGTGAAGGTGGACTAGGACCCCCCCTCCTTACTCTCTTCCACAATCCCTCCAACTAACTAACCGACCACCCCTAAGACACCTGTGAAATCAACAGAAAAGGCTTAAATTTAAAAGAAAATAATTGTTTCAGGATATAAATCATCAGCCTTGTGGTGCTTTTTATCACTCAGAAAGAGAAACCGAAAGAATTTACTGTATTTCATGCAGAGTCTTATCAGGCAGAAAGTACGAGTACATTTGATACTTGTGGTATGACAGGATGTTGGGGAGAAAAAAGTAACGTTTAGCATGATGCATAACCGGCTTTAGGTTATCGCCGACTCGATCCCGAGTCTCCTGCTGTAAACTGGGTGTTTTATCTTTGGGAAGCAAGCAGCCAGAGGAGGCCTGGCTGCAACGCCAGCCAAGGCAGCTAATTACATTTTCCATCTCGACAAGAATGGAGGATACCTTCCTATGTTATTAATCATAATGAGGGGAATATAATAAGCTACCATACATCATGCTGTTGACAGTCGTAGTTTGCCATTTGCAAGCCCAAGCATTCTTCTTCTTTTAATGGCCATAAACTGAATTAATGTACGCTGAGTTCGATGCCCACAATCAATTGTGGATGAGATTCAAGGCCTTTTAGCCTCACCCTCCTAGATTTTGGATGGATAGCAAGAATTAAGCTTCCCAGGAAATAACTATAGGTGTTTATATGTACCGAGCAACAGCGATTCTCATACTGAAT